ACAAACTATCTCGAATAACGAAAATAATTAACTTAGGTAAGATCGCTAATATTATATCGAAAAGTAGTGAACTACAACAACAAAAATTCATCTTTAATTATTTTAATTAATAAAATTTTTGGCTGACCATATTGTTGTTTCGAGTTTTGTCAAATACCCATTATCAGTGGTCTTGGAAATAATTCTTGTATAATAAATTGTAAATAATTTTTTTTCAGACTGCAAGTACCAGGAATTGAACTCGTGTCCTGCAAAAATTGAATCTCAGAGTCAGCGCTCAGTTGTTTAAACTGACTCAAATTCACTTTCTGTGTTTATATTAGAACAAAATTATAAACCAGCTGTAGAATAATTAAATTAATTAATTATATTTTTATTTTTAATTGTTAAATTTCAATGCTATTCTGTATGTAAAATATAAAAATATATATGTACATGATTTTTATATTTTTAAAATATTTACAATTATTATTTAATTTGAGTGCGTTTCGCGTTTATAGAAACGCAAGCTAAAAATCGTCAATCTATCATCATCAAATTAAGTTTGAGACTTCTATTTAATAGTATAATATTATTTTTGCTATCTACTACATTATTAAAATAAAATACAATTTCAAATAAGTAAATACTATACATTTATGCTTGTGTTTTTATAATAAAAATGACCACAGACGTTATTGGTGATTTCAATAGAAAAAACAGACCTAGTACTCTAGCACCGATAACCTTTCATGTAATTCTATTCAAAATTGATAATAACACCGCAAAAATGGAACAATTTGATTTCGATTTTGTATTAAAATTTTGTTGAAAATATAAAATTAATTAATTGTTTAAACACAATAGCAAAAGCAAATACTTTATAAATACAAAGTCACTTGAAAATATCTGAAATATTGTTAACTAAATTAGTCATAGGTTTTAATAAAGCACAATTTTAATAAAACACAATAATTCACACAATAATTTTGTTCCTATTAAATTTTTTTAATGAAGCCTAAATACTAAAATTTAGTTTGTTAACAAGAAAAAAAGTGTCACGCAACAACAAAATCAACAGTATTTGCAAAATATATAATTTGAAAAAATTGTAATTTTTTTATTTATTTATAAATAAATTTTCTATTTTATGACATTTTAATTCACTTGTGCATTAATGCGGATATTTAATTATCAACTTACAAATCAAGCAGTAAAATCATTGCTTTTTCAATTTTGATTTCTGTTCGACTTAATTAAATTACATAATAATTCCATTTACAGATGCGAAAAGGTCAGTTTCATTAAAATTTGTCAACAAATACCCTGTAAATACCTGCAAAAAAAAAAATTTAAAGTTGAGGTCCGCTGTGAATCAGTTTTTAAGTGGGAAATTGTTGGAGCAATTAAAATGGCACAATGACGCAGATCAACTAATTGTTGCAGGCAGCAAATGCTGAGTGCAATACTCAATTCAGTAGACTTTATGCAAGTTGATAACATAATTGCACTTAATAAACATTCAAAAAAAAAACACTAAAAATAATTTCATAATAAATTTCAATATATTTGATTCGGTTTCCGTTACTATATAAAATCAAATTCGTAAAACTCATCCTCCTGTGAGATGAATTTGTCACCAACATGAACCATAAACAATCAAGTAAACGTGTTCTTTTTAAGTTGCAAATAAAATATCTTATTAACACTTTAAGAGCGCATTAATTATATATTATATATGTATATATGTAGTCGTTTTCACTATACTTTCGAATCTGTCAAAAATTTCAACTACCTTGGCACCGCCGTAACGAACAGCCTGGATGTTCGATGTCAGCCTGGAGATCAGACGAAGAATCACCATTGCTAATAAGTACTTTTATGGATTCAGTAGGTAATTGGGATGTAGTGCTTACCAATTGGAGTCGTATTCACCGCCAAACCTAAAGTGTACACATAGATACTTCTTACTTCTTACTGTTGTAAAATGTTTGATCCTTTTCCAGACTCACTTTACATGCTTTAACTGATACATTTTTTTACCGCACCATCTGTTCTCTTAGGGGCCACATTATAAAGTCTGGCGTCATATTTCATCACAGAGTTTTCTTAAGTTACGCCAATTAGTTTAATTTTTATCTTTTGATTGCAACATGTATGTCTTCTTAATTAGAACGCCAACGTCTATTTGATTTGATATTAGTAATACTTCTTCTGGGCCACCATATTTTCAATATATCTAGTAAACAGTGTTTGATAGAGCTTCTCATTTAAAACAAGATATAAATCCGTGTTTTACGTATGATATGTAAGCCATAGACCAGTACTAAATATGCTTATATATTATAAAAAATGGTTCTGTCCTTCCTGTGGAATTACTTGCGTTCCATACTTCATACAAATTTATAAAGCCAAAACGATGTTTTATTCATCTTAAATATATAAATTAAATAGAAGATAGATGTACATTTATTATCTATATTATATATTGATTTTTACAATAAATTGTTGGATCTTGAATCTCACTAAACAAAATGTTTGAATCAAGATAAATTTGACAAAAACTAAGTTGATACATATATGTATTAAGACTATTTAATATTGTAGTTCTTTACAGACAGTTCAACCTAATATTAAGTTGATAGCTCGAGTGTTTGCGAAACTCCAGTTTACAACAGATTTGACGGATGCAAGACTTGGCTTACCATCGATATAATATCGAATAAACTCCTTCGAATAATTTTCAAGATAATTCGTTAAAATATAATATTGAAAACAAGCCTTGAGATCAATCAGGATATACAGAAGCATTGACCATAACATCAATTTGGATTGGATTGATCATACACTATGGAAATAACAAGACAAAATATTTAAAAGTGCTCTGCCTTATAGTTCTCAAGGTCATAAGGAGGTGCCATTTGATGGCCAAATGTTATTGCAATCCGTAATGTCATGTTGCAAGTTTTGGAGTCTATTAATTAGAAGAATCTTAAAGCGGCAAATATAATTATCATAACTTTTTTTTATTTTTATAGAATCGAAGTATGGCCTTAATTTTTGTAAATTACTTTACTTTTACCTATGTATATATTCGGGTACAGTCTTTATACAAAAATGTACATAATTCTCTTAATTCATTGAAATTAAGTTATAATGATTTTATTAAATTGTTTATTTTTTATTAATTTTATCTATTACATACAAATATGTTAGTTGTTATGACAGAGATAATTCCGCATCTCCTTAAGTTGTTATTTAGAAGTTATTATCGTGACAGGAAGGAGCATATACTAAAGCATATTATTTTAGCACTTCACTAAATATAATAATAAGAGCAGCAGTTTAATTTATAAACACATGTGATGAGAGGATATTTCCTCTGTTGCCCTTCTCCTTTCGATACACGACTGCTGTAGCAATTATATATTTGCCTATAATATTTGCAGTGCTCTGCTCTACTGCAAACCATTTTATTGCCAGCTAAAATTACCTTGACTTATCGAAACGTTTTCATCTTATCAGTCTCTCTGTTAGAGACAACTTAGTTCTGAACTTACATACTAGATGAATGCAATATGCAATGTGATATTTTTTAAGATGAATGTTTATATATATACCATACATCAATGGTGTGAAAAATCTATATACATTGTGTGTGTTCATAATACTGTAAGTCAAACCAATTCAAGTTGCTCTGAGACTAAAGATCTATATAGTTCTTCATAATTCAATTTGGATCAGAATATAACCATGTGCTAGACACTAACTTATAACGCTAAAATGGGTCTATTCTCAATATGTGCCCCAATTGCAGTTCTATTCCCCATGTGTTCTTGCCATGAAGCACACATAAATCTAAATTTGTTGATCCTATCTCTTATCTCTCTCACTCCCAAAGAATCCATTCGCCTCTCACACAACCAATATCCATCCACATTCTAACTCATGTATTTATCTTGTAGTTCCTTTTATGTTAACTGTTAACTCTTTTACAGATCCCTGCTGGTTACAATAACAAAAACAACAATATCGCAACTTGAATCAGTTTCTTCGCTTACGAAATAAATGACGTCATAATGAGTGTTGAATATTTAGCGGTTTATCGAAAATTTAATTTCATTGCATTACACAATTACCTCATTTCATTAGTAATTAAAATTCACAAAACTTGCACCGACTTATATATATATATATATACTATACAGAAATATGTTTATGTTAAGATTTAAAGATTATCAAAATAATAAATAAGCAATTGAGTATTTAACTAAATTGTCAATCTCTCAATTTTAAAGCTAAATATTTGTTAAATAATTTCTAGTATAAAAAATAATACGTGCAACCTTGATTAACGCTTCTAAAGTTTATTTTATTATCACTTGATATATAAATTAAAGAAAAAAAATTAATTAATTAGCATAATTTACAGGAAGCTTAGATTTATTTACAAAGCACAGATATCTTCTTACAGATGCAAAATAAAACCTGAACCGTACTGAACCGTACTGAACCGCGAAAAATGCTACTAAATCAACACAGTATCTACGTCTTCAGAATAAAAAGTGGGCAGTACCTTCATAGTTAATTAAGCTTGACTACAATGGCAATAACAACAACAACAACCACGGAATTAATAATTTAATATTAGTAAGCTAAGAAAAATAATATAAAAAATTAGTAATGTCACGAAAAGTACGGAAAGACTTGTAATGGCTAAAAAAATAAATAAATAGAAATAAGCAATTCAATGTCAATTTAATTTAATAACTAATTGTAGGCATACATAATATAATAAAAAATGATGTACGATATATCGAAATAAAATTACACAAACAAAATGCACGCTTAGCGTACAATTTTACAGATTTACAATATACAGTTTTTTTTTTCACATAGGCAATAAGTAGAAAATATATTGACGAGTATGTATGTAATTAGTAAAATATAAGAGTGTTAGCTTAAAAGCTTAATTAGAATTAAAAACTAAGTTGCAAACAAAATTATCACCATCATTTTTGTGTTCATCATCATCATAATCGTCATTATCTCATCTTTTTAGTTATATTCTCTCTAATCATCAATATTTTTTTGGTGTTAATAACAGTTTTTTCTAAAGTTTTTATTTTAATAAAAATCTCACAGGTCAATCCAGAAATCGGTGCAAAGATATCACAAGTGAGACTGGATCACAGTATTTGTTGTTGTTTTTTTACTCTGGTCGACACATATTTCTGTGATCCAGCACTTGGCCTTTTGGACATTCATTAGGCTGTAAAAGGAAACGATCGTCAATGCTAACAGGCGTTACACCGTATTGCTCCTTTTGCTCACCTGTTGGTGTCGGGATTGGCACTTCACCATGTAATGGTGCTAACGGTACCTTTTCAGTTGGTGCGCCTAAGTTAATTGGAGTTGAACTTGAGGCTGCTTGCGCTGTATCGTCAGTGAGTTTGTGCTTCAACTCATCATATTTCTGTGCTACTGTATTTCCAAAATCCTTAGCTGTCTCACTTATTTTGCTTGCAATTGGTTTTGCTTGCTCACCGAGATCTTCAGCACCTTTCTTAATGGAACAGCCGAGATTTTTAAACCATGATTTAACATCACCTTCATCGGATTCTTTTGAATTATCATCACAACCGGCATTTGCGTAAGCCACAAACAAAACGAGACCCAAAAGGGTCAAGCACATGAATGATTTCATATTTTCACAAAATTATTTATTAAGATTTTCTCAAGTTGAACACTCGTTTGACTGAATCTTCTGCTTTACAGTTCTAATTGTCACTCCTATCACGTCGAAGGTTTTCACAAGACTGACTATCTGTAGCTTCAGCGCTGGACTCGGTGGCGCTTGTGGAACGCAAACTTGTTTATGGGAACAAATTAAAATTCATTTAATTCAGTGTGGGAAAAAAACAAGAGCAGTACATGTTAAAAAAACTGGTTTAAGTAGATTTGTTTTAATTTGGCCTAGGGTGACCATTGCGTAGAAATAGTAGCAAATAATAATTATTTTGTTTAATGACGCAGTACCTGTTACTTGCACTTTGCAACATGCAATTTGGTGGGCGTGTCATTTAAATGTGTAAAATTAAATTAAAGCAAAATAAAGTTTAGTTAATTATGCATAAATTTTTATTTTATTTAATTATTTCCATTTGTTTATTAAGTTTAATAGAAACAGCTATATGGTCAACTTAAAATTTTTGATCTTCGATTTAATTATTTAATAATAATATAGAAATAATTTTTGTTGTTGTAGTTCACTATCTCTCTCTTAAATATTACTATTTCTATTAAAGTAAAAACAGTCACTACTGTTATATTGACGTTGTTATAGCTGCGACAAAGCCTTCTGCTCCATTTAAAAAGCGTTTTGGGTTGTTTTGATATACATTAAGACCGAAAAGTTTTCGGAAATTCTCATTTAAAATTCGCGCGCTGTATATTTTTCGATATTTTAAGTTTATGTAGTTTGGCAGCACTGTCCTTAATTACTATGCCAAAAATGAGCGCGATCTGTCAGACAGTTCGTTTACGGCAGCTGTTGAAACCAGTTCACCTCAGTAGTGCGTTGCGAAAAAAACAATGGAAAAAAATATTGAACAAAGAGTTTGCATCAAATTTTGTGTTTCGAACGAAATTTCGTGTGCAGAATCGTTGCGAATGCTACAAAAGGCTTATGGGGAATCAGTTTTATCGAAAACTCAAGTTTATGAGTGGTACAAAGCCTTTCAGGACGGTCGTACGACCGTCGAAGACATTTCGCAACGCACTACTGAGGTGAACTGGTTTCAACAGCTGCCGTAAACGAACTGTCTGACAGATCGCGCTCATTTTTGGCATAGTAATTAAGGACAGTGCTGCCAAACTACATAAACTTAAAATATCGAAAAATATACAGCGCGCGAATTTTAAATGAGAATTTCCGAAAACTTTTCAGTCTTAATGTAATTTAGAATAAATTCATAAAAAATATTTTTACTTTAGGAATGACAAAAATCGTTCAATATAAATCGTACAAATATTTACAAATCAATAATTAAAGTACCAACTTTGAGATGTTGTTATTTCTATAATTGTAGTAATACATCAATGTATGATTTAGTACAATGTATCACACTCAAACTTTAAATGGTTTTGATGATTTACTATGTTCGTATGTGGTCTCGAATTATCTTGATCGGATCTTTTCATTCTTCATTGAATAATTTAGTCATATTTTGTTTGAGTAAATAAACCGATTTGTTATTATGTATTTCAGAACTGATTATGGTTTCTCAGAATCACACAGACAATTTCCTGCACCCCAATTACTCAGGTATTTAATTTTAATAGTGAATACTTAAGGAATTTCTTTAAGTTCTAAATACTCAAGTATTTTATTTAAATCCCGAATTTGTCGAAATTTTTGCTTAAATAATCTCGACTGAAATGAAAGTTTTAAATATTGAATATATTTTACCAATACAATATACGTTTTTTTAACTATTTCTGGGCTTAGGTCGTTAATTTAACACATAAAAATTAAAAATGTTTTTTTCAATAAAAATTACACTTATAAATTTGTGTTATATATTTAATTGTAAGACCCGAGTTCGATTCCTGGTACTTGCAGTCTCAAAAAATAATTATTTACGAATAATTAAATACAAGAATTATTTCCAAGACCACTGATGATGGGTATTTGGCAATACTCGAAACAGCTGTATGGTCAGCCAAAAATTCAATTAATTAAAATAATATAAAAAATAAATTTTTGTTGTTGTATTTCACTACTGTTCGAAAAAACCTCTTTATTAAATTGTTTATAAATTTTTTTAAAAAATTATTTTTATTGTAGTATATATTGTATTAGTTATTTATTGTATTATTTTTATTGGTCTACGAAGTAGATGGTAAGATGATTTACGAAGTAGATTGAAATATTTGTAATAAAAATAATTTTTTATAAAAATTAATATACTATTAAATATTTAATATAAATTTATAAGTGTTATTTTTAATCTAAAAATCATTTTTAATTTTTATGTGTTAAATTAAAGACCTAAGCCTAATAATAATTAAAAAAATGTTTTGAATATTGGTCGCAATAACAATTTATCCAATAAATTATATTTATATATGGAAGTTGCATCAATATTATGAATTTTCAGTAGACTCTTAAATTCTAAGTCGCCTCATTAATTAAATATATTATAGAATTTGATTATATATAAATTTTTTTACTAAATTTATTATACTCAAGCTTTGGCATGAGCAATACTCTTTTATAGATTGTTTCTTATTTTTTTCGAACTGTCATTGTTCCACAATATTTAAGAGATATAAATATAAATTTTTTCGTAGCTGTTTTAATATTTTCAATATAAAAACAAAATTCAGTTTTCTATATATTTCAATTAATGATAAAATTTAAACAAATTTTAATAAATAAATAAAATAAAATTAATATAAATAAAGTATCTACAAAATGAAAAAAAAATTTAAAAAATAAATAAATTTAAATAAATTTAAAGTATCTACAAATTGTGAGAATTTTTAATATATAAATAAATTTAAAAAAAGTATCTACAAATTCAAACAAATTTTTATAAATAAATAAATTTAAATAAAGTAGCTACATAAAAATAAATTTCATAAAATAAAAATAGAAATCCAAATATAATAGATAATGTGAATACTAATATATAATCTTATCTAAAACTGAATCTACTGATCATATATTGTAGTGTATTTTAAAAGTATAAAGCTTTCGCTCTCGTCAAGACTCTCGCTAGTGAGCTTGCAAAAATATCTAAAAGATATTTTTGTCTCTCTAGTTTGATTGTTATGTTATTTATTTTACAAATAAACCGAAAGTATCTTGTTGTGCAATTCAGCTAAAAATGAAAAGCATTCTGTTTTAGAATAGTAATTTATTCAAATTAAATGCACATTGTTTCATTCATTAATTTTTTTCCTACTAAAAGTGTAAACTGAGGTTTAATACTTCACATTGCCGTCATTAAAAACAAATCTGTTACGTCATGTTTGACTTAAAAACTAAATTTAACTTAAATTTGTTTTTAGTTTTGTATAGTAAAACATTTAAAAATAACGTTTGGTTTGAAATTAAATTATGAATGAATTTTTTATTTAATTTATATTTGAATCATTGTATTATCTATAAATAATTTGTATTTTTTATAATACTAAACCATATAGTTTTATTACTAAACACGCATCATTTCTTGAATAAATTTCTTATCATCTTAGCTTCACAAATTCTATTTTCTGATGACTGATTTAAACAAGTATTTGAACAATTAGTATTATATATAATAATATATAATAATTAAAGTACTTGAATTATGTTGAATAAGATGAAAATATCGTTATTATCTTTGTGTTTTTGTAAATAAACAATATAGTGCGTATGTATAAAGTGGATGCCTATAAAAAAATTTCTCTGATACATAAATTAGTCAATGAGATGGGTGGGACCCTGTAGTACCTCCAGCTACCAAAGAGTAAAAGTGCTCAGTTGCCCTGACTCGAAAAAAGGATCAACATACATACATACATACTTAATACATAATTGTAAAAGTAAACCATATTCATATCTCAGATATAAACAAAGCTTAGAAATTGAAAGTGGGATAATCAAATGTATATAACTTCCGAGATCCTCACACAAGTGAAAAAAAAAATAATCAGAAATGATTTTGCAATTATTTTTATATAATTTTTAATTATAAATATGTTTCTGTTTTCGTCTATAGTATTATAATTATAATATGGAAAATTTTAAAGAAATTCAATAAGATATTACTAATCAAAGTATTATTATTTTTTAAAATACCAAAACTCATTAACTTAGTACTTACTTACCCTCGACAATATTGTAGGATAATAATTTATGCACTTGCATAGAGTTGGGCCTTAAGTATACACGACTAGAAGATGGAGTTAGTATAAGACGAAAGCTGTGGAAAATGACAAATACTAGGAAGAAGAATATATTTAAAAAAATGCATTACGTTACAAAGAAAATGCTTTGATATAAGCTGATACAACAATATAGCAAACATCGCCAAACGAAAAATTTAAGTTAACCACATAGAGAATATAGAACAATGTGGCAATAAAATTCCTTTGATAAAGAGCTAACTCGCTGGCAAATAGGCCACCTGACTCTAGATAAGAAAACTATCTTCCTAACTGCAAGTCTATGCGTAAGACCTCGGTGTCAACCAGTTTCATCGTAAACTTACCTAATTTCCTCAAAACACCTATTTCACATATGCCATATTACCTAAAAAATCTAAACCTTGCGATGTGTGTGTATCCAGTGTACTAGTTTTTACATTATTCTGTAAGAAATCCGTATCCGTATTCTATATTATTTATCGTATTTAGCAGTACTAGAAATGAATAACAACAAATTCTTAGTTGTAGATTGCTATCTTTTTAAAATTTTGATGACTATACACTATTGATACGTTAATGGAATCAAAATTGGTTGGCTCATGCAATTATATTTTAAGCTTAGATCTACAGCTACCCGATAACGATTAAAGGCTGTAACAATTTAATTATAATCTTTAGAATTAAACAAAGAGAAATAAAAGTATTTTTTAAGTTAAATGTTCTTCAATAGTTTTTTCGTAAGATATATACCTAACAAAAAAAAAATAATATATTATTTGAACAGATGGATAACAAACAGACAGACAGACAAGATTTAATCAACTAAAGTCATCGCGTTAATCAAGAATATGTATATTACACTGTATGAGTTCTATAACGTTTCTTTCTGTTAAGATTACAAAAATCTTGACAAAA